CGGTTTGGCGATCAGTACGATGCAAGTCGCATGGATTGGGCCTGGTGGAAAGCCAACATATTGGGTGTCGCATCAACAATAGACGTGACATGCCGTCAATGTGGCCACGGTTGCAAGAGCACTGCATTGCGCAGTCTGCAGGGTGGCTGGTCACCCAGATGCCTGTGCAACAGGAAGACAGAAGCCAAACTTGGGCGGTGGTTGCGCGCGAAGTTCCCGGACTGGACAATCACCTCGCAAGTGCAGGGTTGTAAGAATCCAGACACTCAGCGGCACCTACCATTCGATTTTGGCTTGTGCCGCGATACTATCTTAATAGAGCTGGATGGTTTCATTGGCCACTTCGGTCGTGGGTGGGGAGGGGCTGCGGACGATCGGGGCGTGCCGCAGAGAGACTTTCAGAAGGAGTGTTGGGCGATACAGCACGGCAAAGTTTTAATACGATTGCTGCAGGCAGATGTGTACAGAGATCGTTGGCCCTGGCAGGATTTCTTGACTTCTGCGGTCCAACATGCAACTTGCGTGACCCAGCCCTGTGTGCTCACACAGCATGCAGTGCAGTACCAGGGTGGCATTTATCGCGAGCTGCGCCGCGAGTTGAACTGCAAGGAAGGCCATTTCTGTCCGAGCCGCATCCCCTACCTGGAGTATAGACTGGTCAGGCCTCAGCCCGATGGGACAAAGCCACCCTGGGCTGCAAGCCTGAGCCGCCTTGATTCTTAAAACATATTAGTCGAGTAAGCACGCCACTGGATTTAGTGTGCTTTATGGTGCAGGATTTTGAGTTGGCACAGCGAGAAGGTTTCCAGCTGACGCACCACTCCGAATCCTCGACTCGAGAGAGAGAGAGAGAGAGAGAAGGAAGAATCAGGCGTAGCGCTTGTGCGCAGGGGTTCAGGGGGTACCCCCTGGCCCCAAACGTCACGCAAGCAAGCAAGCAAGCAAGCAAGGAAGAATCAGAAACCCGACGCGATGGCTAACTAGCCTTCTGTAGTCGAGATCGATTCCGAAGTCCTCACGCTTTAGACCTATATAAGACCTAAAACAGTAACATTGGTTCTTGTTTGGATCACTTTATCCGAAAATCCCATTGCGGAGAACGTGTCATAGTATACTCCACATTCCCCAAAGTGCGTGGCAACAGGGGGTTCTGGCATTAAGAGTGAAGGGAGTTGATTGGCTTGTGGGAACAAAAGCTCCACGTGTCTCCGCCAGTGGTGCGGTGCATACTTTTCGCTGACGTCCCTTTATTTGCAGAGGATGTGCTGCTGCGCTTGCTGCCCGCCCCGGCGCCCTGATTTAGTGTGAATGATACGACATGGACTACTTTTGGCTCTCGAAAACCTTGAATCGCAGCAGTATTTGGGGCAAACGATTCGGGTGTCCGTCGGGATCCCGCAAGCGAAGAAGGGGAAAGCATAAGTCTCGTGTTGTTTCCGAAACACGTGGGCATGGTTTCGCGCTGGTCCTCGCGCTGCATTTCTCCTCATCCCGTCAGAACTTGGAGGAAAGCACTTGATAGTCTCCTGGTGCTGTGCTGCTGGTCTCCTGGCTCTCCTGGTGGTGGTGCGGTCTCTTGCTGGTCTCCTGGTGTCGTGATGGTCTCTTGGTGTTCTCCTGGTATCGTCCTGCTCTCTTCGTCGTCTCCTGGTGTCTCATGTTGCGCATTGGTGCTTTCCTGGTAGTCTCGAGGTCGTAGTCGTCCTGGTCACAGTGCCCGTCGTGGGTGGCCTCCTGGGTCTGGGGCCCCCAACTGATGATTCGTGCAAAGTACGCGGAGTGCCTCCCAAAGGCTCTTGAACTCTGCCGCTCTGCGGCCTCCAAACTGGTGTTTGCGAAATTTTGCGCATGCAATTGGAGTACAAATATCGTGTGTGGAACGCTTCCGAAAGGCGTCGTAAATGCTGGAAAAACAAACATGGCAACTAGTTGCCGCCTGCATTTCCCCAGCATAACGAACCACTGGCCCGGTGGGTGATGACTGTGCCCCTGGTACTGGTAGTATGGAGAAGTAGAGATGGCATGGCTATCAGTTGCGACCCGTATTTTCCCTAGCATAGCGAACCACCAACCCGGCGGTCGCGGGAAGAAGCTCTACTCCACATGTGAGAAGAAGTCCCCAGCTAATATCCCTCCCCTCCCCTCCCCTCCCC